TTTTGATTGTTACTTATTTTATTTGAAATAATTTATGAAATGTTGATTATTATTATTTTAATTTCTTCATCTTTTATTTTTTTAATTTTTTAGATTTGATCTCTATTATTTTGATTATTATTTATTTTATTTAAGATAATTTATGAAATTATATTTTTTTCAATTTTTTTCTCGTTCAACTATTTAATTTGTAAGATTTGTTCCTTATTATTTTAATAAACTTGAAAAAAATAAAATATTAACAAGTTATTTTCCATGACATAATCAAACAATGAAAATTGTTTTCCAACTTATTTTTCATTATACTACCAAATATTAAAAAGTAATTCACTTTCTCAAAATTTATTTTTTTAAAATTCACTTAAAAAAATTACTTTTCAACAACAAATAAATAAAAACTTATAAATCTCAATTGACTATTGCTGGAATGTCATGTACAATTAATTATCAATCGCTTGAGAAGATTTATTTAGAATATAAATAAGATTGTTAAAATTGAGTTTTAACTTGTAAAATTATATCGAGTCAAAATATACATACTAAATCATTTAAAAAATTAATAAATAAATAAATTCAGATTAAAATTTGATAAAATCATTAAAATAAAATAAAATCGTAAAAAGTTACAAGTTCAGGACAGATTGAAAACTGGGGTAAATGTTTCCCTCCATGCTCCAGCTGTCCAGGGCCTATTGGCTGGGTAAATGCACAGTAACTCCCAAGTCTCCAGTCTTCGCTCCGGTAAATGCATCGCGTTTCTTCCTTTTCTGAGAACAAATCCCTAATCTCCTTCTCTATTAACTAACCGGCAACCACAAAAGCGGCGACGATTAGTCCAGTCTTCACTCCAGTCATCAGTGCTCACGAACTGGTATTTAATCGGTTCATTTGTCTTCCTATAGTTTATCTCCATGAAGCCGGCAAGCTCTTCGGTCAGTTTATCACGAAACCTCCTCCTCTGTTCATTAAAGTCTTATCCTGCATTATATAATCTGTACTTGCTTTAATTGTTACTTTATTCGCACACTAACCATGCTCTCTCTCTCTCTCTCTCTCTCTCCTCTTCATCATTTTTTAGTGCATTCGCTTCTCTGTTTACTGGAGCTATAATTATAGAAATTATGTATTTTTAACCAAAAAAATTTTATGCAACACAAAATAATTGTTATACTAGGCATCTGGCGAAGATTTTGATTCACTTATCATGGTGTTTGCAAGAGTGTTTTTCGAATTCTGCTGCACCTTTGGAGGTTTATGCGAAAGCTATTAATGCGGTTTACATTTCATCTGTTTTTTTTGAAGTATTTAATTGAAAATGCTCAAAGCAATAATAGCATCGGGGAGTTGTATTTGTCATTGAATGTAAGTGAACCAGCACCTAATGATTTCAACACAGGTATTTCATTTTTGTTATTTGGTAAGTAGTGCAAATTGAATGTCATGGTGTAGGTTTGTTTCAAAGCATCCATAGTCAGCAACATTTAAGTGTTTAACCTGTTCTCTAGAATGCCAATTGTGTACTATAGACTCTCTGCTTTCAGTTCCATTGAAGTTTTTGTTTGACAGCTATGCTTTCCAGTACACGTAAATCATTGTATGCTGATTTGTTGCATGTGCGGATCAAAACATCGAAAATCTTGTCATGCATAGTGTACTTTTGTTCTATGCTCTGTTGAAGTAAGGTACACCATGGATTTCTCACCATGCTCACTATGTTAAGATTTTGTGCAATTTGATCTTCTAAAATGCGTTATTTTTGTTCCAAGTTCAAACACATACCTTCTACATTACGAGTTGCTCAATTTCATGCTTATTGCAATGTCAACCCAGCATTTCTACTGACCATCTCCTGGACCAAGTGACATGAACCCTTTTATTAATGCAGCCATGGTTCAGGTTAGTGGATGACCTTTGGCTTTATTTCTTGCTCTAAGTTCAGAATTGTTTAGATCTTGCAATCTTATTATGGATGTTTTCTATAATTTGCTGGAAAGTTCTTTGGTTAATTTTGTTGTTGGGAGATTGCTACTTAATTATATAGTGCAGCCTTGTATCCCATTTGACAGTGCATCTTATCCAGTATTTTTTGGCGGGAGTCAGCCTGGAGTTTTGTAAAGAGTCAGTTCTGTAGCTCGTATGATATTCTTATTAGTGCTTCCTTTTATTTAAATAGACTTGAACTAGTCAGTTTTCTCATCTAAAAACATCAGTGCTTTTGTTGACATTATATGTTTGCTTTGCAGCCGCTTTTGTTTTATTTCCATTCAATTATTTGGTCAGTTCAACTGGTGAAAGCTCAAGAAATCCATGTCTGAATTTTTATTTGAAGTATGAATTTTTTTAATGTATTTTAAAATTCCTTATGATTTTACGATCCGTTTTTACTATCCGAGTTTGTTTTGTATTTTCCGTGCCGTGTTAAAATTGTGATTTTAACAACCTTGAATACAAACCATCTCACCTTTGCCCGCATCCTAACAAAACATAAGGGCAAAATGGGATTTTCATTATAGATTACTACAGTGAACATCTCACGCGCTGTAGCTTAATAGTTAATGAAAGGAAAAGGGGAAGAAAAACGTTCTCCTTGATCTAGTGGGGTTCTTCCAGTACACCACACTTTTTTTGTGATAGTACTGGTGGCAGCTCCCTAGGCAAAGGGACCATTGCACGCTCGCTGTTATGCAACTGAAAGAAAAAACCTCCAACTCTCTGAATCAATCCTCTACTTGCACTATAACAATGGTGAGAAGAGCACCTGTTTTAAATCGTTTTCCTCTGTTGTTTCTTTCCTTCTCTCTAGCTAGAGACTGTCCAACACAGCGCAATGGTGAGAGAGAACTGGAAAAAATATCAGTAGCTCTGTTTTTAAATAGCTAGAAACATCTAATTAAACTGACTTTTGGCTTTGTTATTTTAGCTTACATCGAAGATTTTTGGAGTCGGCAGCGACAGCGGCTCTGATTCAAAGAGTTCTCAGCAAAAGATTTCTAATCGCCGATACAAGGAGGGCTTTGAGGAGGTTAAATGTCTAGATAAAACTTACAGTGTTCTTGATTTTAGAATATTCTTGTTTATTGTAATGTGCAGAGAAAAGCATCATGCTAAGATGCATCATAAAAATATTATGTTTTATTATTGAGTATTTTACTGTTTGGTATCTCTAATTTCTTTTTGTTTTTTTTTTTTTTTCATGTAAGTTTAGAAGACATGTTCTATATAATCAAACATAACTTTTCTCTATGCTTCTAAAATATAGCTAAAAAACATGTTTTTTAGGAGATTAGATGTCCAAGTAAAACTTACGTTGTTCTTGTTTTTCATAGTTTGCTTGTTCTTAAAATATTCTTGTTTATTTTTTTGTACATAAGCCATGGTATATATGGAATAGTCATAAAGTGTAAACATGAACTTGATTATGTGGAACATGCAGTAAAGAGAATCAAAGTTGGTTATCACGATAGAGAAGTGATATTAATATATTAGATCTTTCTTATTTTAATTTTATCTCACTTGATATAAAGTTTTTAAAATAAAACAACATAACACAACACAAATAAAATTAAAATAAGAGAGATCTAATACTCTAATATCACTTATCTGTTGTGGTAACCAACTTTGATTTTCTTTATTGTATATGATCTAATACCCTAATATCACTTATCTGTCGTGATAACCAACTTTGATTTTCTTTATTGTATATTCCACATGATAAAGCTTATTTTTACACTTCATTATTGTTCCATATGTACCATGACCTATGTATAAAAAATAAACAAGAATATTATAAGAACAAGCAAACTATGAAAAACAAGAACAACGTTAGTTTTACCTGGACATTTAATCTCTTAGAAAACATGTCTTTTAGCTATATTTTGGGAGGGCAAAGAGAGGTTGTGTTTGATTACATAGAACATATCTTTTAAACTCATTTGAAAAAAAAGAAGGAAAAAAGAGAGATCAGGGAGCTAGAATCTTGAATACCAAATAGTAAAATACCTGATGGTAGTGCACAATATTTTTGTGATGCATCTTAGCATGAATAGATGCTTCTCTGCACATTAAGACATTACAGATCTTTTAGCGTGTAATAACCACTCATCAGAGGAAAATGAGCGGTACGAACCTCACAAATCTCTTATCTCGGACATGATGTCTGTATACCCTGGAGACCGTCCTTCTGCTGAATAAGTTCTGCCCTAGTGACCGTCTGATGGGGACACCAGACCCACACCACAAACTATACGAGTATATGGACAAAGACGGCGTAGGATGGCCCAGCCTGTCACGCTGTGGTTGGGAGACTAAGCCCATTTGGGCCTATTGCATTGTTATTTTATTTATTTAGCCTATTTGGGCCTGTTCATTGTTATCTTATTATTTATGTTAAACAGTTTGGGCCGAGCCCATTAGTTGGATGTTTTAGAATTTACTATTTATATGCTCTCTTGTCATTGTGAGAGTTAGTTTTTTCATATGACATTGATTCTCTATTTATGATAAATATGTTTGGCAGTGCGATGAGTCTGTGGAAGGCAATAAAGAAGAGCAGGAGACTAGAAAAAATGTTGATAAGGAGGAGATTGAAGCTGTTGGAGAGGATGGCGCAGAGAAGGAGGCTTGGGCTTAGGCGATAGCACTGAATTAGGAATGTTCAAAGCTGGGTATAATTTCAAACCCAAAGCTAGTTGTATGCAGTGCAGAGCAACTTCCTAATCTTGAAGTTTGATGCATTTAACGAGACCTCCACTTTAGGAGGAATAGCAGACAATATAAACGTACAATAGTTTCAGCAATCCATAACATGCCTGTTTCCTCCTGGGTGCTTTGTGCAGATCAAAAAGCTTTTCATCACAAATTTTACTTCAGGGGGGCTGCATGGCAGTCAAGTGTTCAGTCTGATTGTCGAGCAGTGAGATGCTTCATGTCTGTCGGCGTGCCATGTTGTTTTTATGGAAGTGTGATATGTTCAAATTCTGCAACAGAGGCAAACTGATGTGTAGTAATTCATCTGATGTGGCAAACTGATGTATTGCGATGACGGTGGCAAACTGCCTCGGCAGAATTATTTTGCAAAGCATGACTGATGGTTATCAAAGTGAAAACCAATTCTGTTCGTATATCTTAGCTCTTTAAAATCTTATCTGTATACCTCTTTAAAAGAATAAGGGTCAAATCAGAAGAAATAATATTTGCATTAAAGAGAAAAATAATATTTCTATGAGGATTTGAATTAAAGAGTTCTCCTTGCAAAAGATCCTTTAAGTGTTAGTGTTCTTCTCTAACTGAAAGCCCATACCCTCAGGTTACCAAGTAGAGATGCCCTGTATGGTGATTTGACAATGACAATAGCATTTGATTTGATCATCTGAATTTCACGAAATGATGCTTAAATTGATGGGTGAAATTTTTTAATGTGAACGTATTTAATGCTGCTGCAGTATTAAAGGTCATTGATAGGTTGCTTTTTGTTAGCCAGATGGCTTGAGCTGATCTGACTTGATTGCTGCAGGTCATTTGCAAGAGTGATGAGTAAAAATGAAGGTATTAGGAAACTAAAGCTTTTAATGCAACAAAGCTTGTCTCATGGTGCACCTAGTCCCAAAGTGTCAAAAATAGTGGAAGTACTTGTTGATCATTTCAGTGAGTGGCATCCTCTTTCTTGAACATAAAAAAAATTGCAGTTTTGATTTGCATACCAGTCTTTTTACTCCCCCTTTACACTTCTGCCTTACTATGTTAGAAACTTCAATTCTCAACTGTTAAGATTCACAATAGGAGGGGCCCCTGATCAAGCTGGAAAACCTGTGCTATCATGTTAAAATTTGGTGGGAAAAAGGAACTTGAGCTGTTACAGTTAAAATTTGGGTCTAAAAAAATTAAACTATGTTGCTGTTTGATAGAATGAATGCTGCAAACATTTGCAGAATCTAAATCTGCATGGAAACAAAGGAAGAAATGATAAGATTATGCCATCATAGCTACGACAAGAAGGCAATCACATCTTCATTCAAGCTTCAAACATCCTGAAAATTATTGTTAATTGATATTCTATTGTTTGAAAGCATTACATTGACATAGATAGCATTTTTAATTCTTGGTTTGACCTCAACATCTAACTAGAAAATGCAACTGCATTACTTGAACAAACAAATCAAAGACCAGAAATGAAAGGTTTCGCGACAGCATATAATTAACTTTGACTTTTTAAATTTTGGGTTTCTGTTGCTTCTTTCTCCAGCAAACCTGGAATCTACCATTATACCTTTGATCTTTAGATAAGAATTCGCGTACTGAAGCTGAAACAGCTGCGACTTGACTTAAATGAGCAAGCAAGGATTATTTGGACGAAATGGGCATTTAATTGTTTATGATCATTCCTATTTGTTGGACAGGAATTTTGTGGTTTAATTGTTTACGATCATTCCTATTTGTTGGATAGGAATTTTTAATGAAATAATATTGTTGTTTGCAGTGGAACTTGTTTATGTTTTTTCTTCTTCTGTGTATAGGAAACGTAGGCCAACATGCTCACACACGTTTGTATGTATTTATTCCATGGCGGATCATCAATATTGTCTGGTTAATCGCAACCCAAATCCATGTCAGTCTATATTTTGAAGAAATGGTTGATTTTTCTTCTGTTGATTGATATAGAATACAAATGCCGAAGAAGTTTGTATCCTAAACAACAAATTAAGCGAAGAATTAGCAGTTTTAGCTTACAACAAATTAATCAAACCAGCACGTCCATTCAAAAAATAGAATACAGAGCATCAATGCAAGACAGCTTTCCTGAAGTCTTAGATTCCATAACTAGCCATGTCAGAGAGCTCTGATAAATAGTTTTTTTATAGAAAGAGTGCTTGCAACTGGACTATTAACTGCAATTATTATCAAAATTACTCAAAACAGCATAACAGGGAGAGTAGAGGTGTACAAAATGCTGGCCCGATGATATTTTTAATCCGCTAGACAATGTAAAAACCTCTTCGAATTTGTTGGATAAGATCGTAACTTAAGACCATGCTAGGGTTTCCAGGAAAAATAATATCAGAAGCTGGATGAATAGCATATGTACGAAAATGAAAGCCTGAATTACGCACGTCAGGATATTTGGACGTCAAGGAGTCCATTGAGATGCGATGTGTGAGTTTCCAAAAAGGATCACGTTTGCAACGGTCTTCCAAAAGCCAAATGGAGATCATCAATCCAGACTCGTCATGATTTGAATAATACAAGCTTCCTCTAGACATCCCAATGAATCCATGGCAGGCAGCGGCATTCTTGTGCGGGAGTTCAATTGCCACATCGCTCGGCGCATTCAAGTCAAACCTGATGAGGTAGTTGACGACAAAGGATAGCTTGTAAATCATTCCATCCAAATAAATAGAACGCCTGATACAACCATACTTATCTGCATCAGCAGCAGCATGAGGAAGTTCAGTGGATAACATGACCCTGCGCCTAACCCACTTTCCGGTATCGGAAGAAAATATATCCAACTTTACCGGGCAAGAAGTTTTTTCTCAAAATAAATAAAGCGAACAACTTTGTAGTGAGGAGATTTGGCAGGATCATAGGCAATTGCAGCGGCGAATGGAGCAGTTCGTGGACGGGGATTAGGAATTGCAACGCATTGTCTGGTCGTGGTGTTGCAAACAAAATAATAATGCAGAAGAGCCTGTCGTTGCTCTCTTCTAACAAACAAGAGCAACCCATTACAGCAATCAAAATAATGATCAGAAGAAAGCATGAAGGGCAACATACAAGCATACGAATCCACAAATCCACCGGTCTGGCCTACGCAATCATGAACATCGGGATAGCTAGCATATGCAGCAAAGTATCTGAACCCACAAATTTTTTTGATAAGAACAGAGGAACAAAAAGCCAGAAGGATGGGCTGC